TTTTCGTCCAACTTGCAGCATTAGAGAGCGAGCGAGTGCGTTTCTAATCTTGAACTCTATTTTCATAACGTACATGAATAAATAAATATTTTAGTTCAAATTCGATCGTTACCTCGCTCCTCACTTCAACTACTACTCACGTGGTATGCGTCTTCGCGCATATGAACAGTTCTTGACCCCGTACAAAACTGTGAGTGTTTCTATTAGGTATAGCTCTAGTTTTCTAGAAGAAGGGTGCTTTGTGTTCCTTGGGACAGGTGTCAGGAAGGGCAGGTCTAGCCCACTTCTGGCTGCCTTGCTGTACCAATAGTGATCGGTTAGACCGCATTCAGACTTCGCAATCGCGCGATTGGATCACGCGACCTCAACTAGGGGCGCTCCATTGCCAATCACTGCGCTGCTGCAACAGTAGAATCGAAATTGAGCCGTGTTCACACGATCCGAATTGTGCCGTTATAATGGTGCACCGTTTGGCGGTACAGCGCCCCGGTCGTGGTCGCGCGATCGCGAAGTCTGAACGCGGTTTTACTGATCGATTCAGGAAGAAAAAAAACTGGAGTTGAAAACGCCGTGGGTGGTACGTCGCCCCTACTAATTGCGACGACATCAACTGTATCGACTTTCCAACGCGCGTTCGTGGTTATCGACTTCAGCAATTTATCCGGCTGAGCCGAGAAATATTTGGGACTGAGACCGACAGTGTCTTCTTCTTTGAACTGCAACGATCCAAAAAAGCGATCCTAAATGAAATCGAATTAGCAGTGCCAACGATCCGACAATTAGAGGCGGAATGCGGTCGGGAACGCGACCGAATCATTCGAGTCGCGTAGTACAAACGCACCGGCGTACGGACTAATCTGTCCTTGGGCTGCGCTTTTCATGAGGCAGTGCTGAGTCATAGTGTCTATATTTGTTCTTTTTAAGGTGCGAATAGACATGATGGCTAAAGACTTCGGCGTTTCGCGCACTTTCATTGATAAAGAGCTACATCGATTGATTGCAGCTGGACAACTTCATTGCAGGCAAGCTTTTCATTGAAGTGCAAATTCATAAACGTAATAAATTTATCGCCTGTTTCAGAATTGATGCAGTCCGTGGTGTTATTGAGATGAACCATCCTGACTCGAAAAATTATTTGTACAAAGCTGTCATAAAGTGAGTGTCTCCATAATCTGCTCCTTTGCGTAGTTCGATTTGCGGCCACTTTCGTTGTTTCACTACTCGGGAATGTCTCACCGTCTTGCATACCAAAAAGGTTTCCAACATTATGTGCTAGGATGTTCGGATCGCGGCTACATATAGTGCAGTTCGTTGCGGACGGTTAATGCAGGTTGGGCGTGTCAGGCGGGATGAAGTTTGGCGCGGTGCCGAACCCGTTCTCCAACCAGTTGTTATAAAGCGACAAAATGATATGACTGTATCATGTCATTCGCATTCGTTTTCTACCACTTTCTGTCGTATGTGCGCTCTAACAAGGCCTGACACGCCCAACCGCCCGCGGCGAACTAGAGTTCATGCGTGCATTGTTTTTTTGCGATTTACAAGTGGTATGGTGGCTTACGCTAGATATTTTTGTCTCAAAGACATGATGACAGTTTTCGCATAGCATAGAACTTGCCCCTCAATACTCGGCCGGACCAGTAGAGGTTCCAATCAGCAATGCCAAGCTGGGAGAGCGCTGCAGCAGTACCTATGATTTTTGTGTTAATTTTTTTGTAGTGAAGTTCCCACAATACGGACTATAGCTCGGAATTTCACTGCATTTCCCATGATTTCGGCGTTTCAGGGATGGTGATATCTTGTTGAATCGTATCCAGAAACTCGCTCGAGTAATCAATGCCTGAAAAGACAAGCTCTTGCAGAATGCGGTCTTTTAATAAAGGTCTCGTCACAATCGTACCTTTTAATTTAACAGTTTGAGTCAGGGAGTGCTCACATTATTTATTCGCTTTTGCCTGCAGTTGGATAATACAATTGAAGATCTGGGTAACATGTTGTATTGTTCGAATAAATATTCGTAAATTCCTTTACTTTGTTGATCTTTGAACCTTGTTAACTCTCAGTGCATACCTCTGTTCAAATGATATATCGCAAGCCGTGGAGATCATGTCGAATCTTGAAATTTGAGAGAAGTCGGAGTGCGCTCAAATTTTGCGATTTGAATGCGCGTGCCATTTGGTCATCCTGGTAGCGCGAATAAGAGCGGGTTCGTTCCACCGCTGGTCGCTGAACTGCCACAACTACACCCAGGAACATGGTGGTTGCGTACTTGTAACATGACATGAAGTCTCACCTGGCGAACCTCTTGTGCTAAGTTGTGTTTCCTCACAAATTTTCTATAACAGGTAGGGAGATGAAAAAAGAAAGTTTTCCATCCCAAATGTAATTGAAAAAGCAGTAGTTCAGTGATTGGCGGTGAAGCGCCCTCTGTCGCGCTATCAGAGCAAGTAAACTGCTCGCGATCAAAGTGTGAACTATGAACACACTATTAGCGTCTTATTATCAACCACCACTGACATATTTGTTATTTGATGCCCCGATAACTTTTTACCATTTGATGGCAATCACATTTTGAAGCATTATTTACTGAGCGGATCAGCTGTGTCCGGTCTGTTTTCTATCGGCCTTCTGTCAGGGGGGGGGGGGGGGCGGGGGGGGGGGGGGGGGCGGGGGTGGTGGGATGCTATTGCTCTACTATGGTTATGGAGGACACAAACTCGTCAAATTAATCCCCGTTTGTGCGCGCATTCTTGGTTCACAGTTTGCTTCCACTGAGAAAGCGGTCCAATAAGATTGTGAATCGGAAGACATGGGAGACCAGGGGAGGTTTTGCCCCAGCTAGGATATCCTTCACAGTGGACTAGGTGTGTCGGCTAATCTCCTGTTCTCCACTCGGGCAGAGTCAATCGATGAGAGATTTGATTTTCTTGCGGATTTTCCGATTCTGTATGTGCGCGAGGTGTAGCGTAAAGAAAAGTAGGCACCATTTTCATCGTAAGCAACGTGGGCTTGGCCCCGCTGCTTATGTTCTGACGCGAAAAATGCCTATAATTTTAAACACTTAATATTGTATTAGAATTTTTTAACTATAATGTAATAATGATATATGAGTAATAGTTATTGATAAAAATTATTAAAATCTAACATGTTACAGAGAATAGATGTAAATCTAGACTATGTTGAGCCAATTACTTATATTTCAGGAACACTTTCATTCAATTTGTAGCTACAGTCGTCATCTTGAACTTGCAAATAGTCAATGTCAGTGGACGGCGCATGCGGCGCGGAATCGTCAGCACACCCGTACTGACACCAATCGTTGAACCAGGAAGTGACATTACTGTATTATATCCTTCGTGTTACTCGTTTTCTATCACTTTTTGTCGCATACGCGTTTCAACGAAAAGGCTGAGAAGGCTTCAAACAGTGTGCACGAAACTCCAATCTCCCCGACGTCGACGCCGACGCCCTATCAAGTGCAAGGATGACCGGCTGTAGTTCTTATTCACAATAACCGAATTACTGAGATGAGGTAGGCGTGGCTGCGCACTTCAACTAACCGTCGTGGTGGCTATGGTTTTGGAGAGATATTTTCAGTTTGACCCAAATGTGTTCACGTCTCTGTCCAACAAAGAACAAGATGGCGGTTGTCTTGAATTGAAATATCCCACGAGTAACCAGTTCTGTGCCATGTTCGAATGCCACGCCTACCTCGTCTCAGGGATAAGGAGTATACCACCTTTCCGGTCTTCGTTTCTCCAGCTCGTCCCTGGCTACAAACTCGTAGAGCCCTTTCTTCTCATTTGAAAACTGGTATATGCTTCAGATTTTAATTGCTTATTGAAACCGGATCCCTCCTGACATTGCACACCGGGTACTGCACCGCGTTTTATATTCTGAATAAATACGACCTACTGAAGTTTTCTGCTAGACTCCTTTTTTTGGGTATTCCGTATAAGTACGACAACTTCGAATTTTCTTCTTCTGTACGACCCTCCCTTTGCACGGCTGTGTAGCGCAGTGGAACAGGAAAATTGCACAAACGGAAAATTTCTTCTTGCTGCGCGAAAGTACTACCTCCCCATCACCGACCCCAAAATACCACCCGTACTGGAATTTTGCCAAAGACGAGCGCCTCAAAAAAGAATTCAACCATTAAAAGTGTGTGAAGGCAAACATGAATACTCTCCGCAGCGGCAAAATCGCGACCTCCTCTCGGCAGTATTTTTCACAATGGGTGCTGCACCTGGATCGCACACTATGACGTCAATTTTCTTCTTGCTACCGTAACTTAATTGTGTTGTGTACGCGAACTGCACAATACATCACTCATTGGGCGTTCTGCCATCGAATTAATTAGCCTCCAGTACGTTTTGCTGCGCTTTGGCGGGAGATTTGTTTGTAATGCGCTGTCGTGTGTGTGGTTTCATAATACTTGCATTTTTTTTTATTCATTTCATCTTGTAATTTTTGGTCCTTCTGATTGATTTTTATTCACAGAGGAAAGTTGGTGGAAGTGGTTGAGCGACATTATTGCTTTTCCCATATTGCTGCATAATATCCTTTTTCTCGTCTCGCAAATCTAGCATAAGTATGTGTTCCTGGTGCGCAGTAAGTTGCTCGTAGAGATGACGAAAACAGCCGGACGAACCATGGGGTCTGAAAAGTAATTGTAATTCTAAGTCTGTAAATGCAATTAATCATTCGCAGTCATTCTGACCGTGACATAGAGCACCAGCTATTGCAAAGGTGAACTTTCTTGGTCGTGAACCTCGAGCTAGCGTATTACCTCCATGGTGCCCCATACATGATTGCAAATAAAAGGGGGCTAATCGGAGCGGGGGGGGGGGAGACACTTGTGGGCCCTTCGTGTCCCTTCCTCTAATAAAGGCCAGGACGTAGTAGAGGCTGCGTCTTCTCTGTGAGTCTAGCCCTTAGCGGCAGTGGTCGTCTGTGCTTTAGGCCCAAGGCTGCGTTCACGCTTTGCGTCAGCGCCAGCGACTAGGAAAGCATAGGTATCGATCTAACGTATACCAGCGTACGGCTAGGGTAGTATGGATATCAATCTAGCGTCTCGAGCGTACGCCAGCCTTTTCGCGAGCA